CCTCAACACCCCTGCACACACCACAACTCTCTGCCCCAGTCCTGAGCCCTCTCCCACACTCCAAATATATTAAATATATTGATTTCAATTATAACACAGAATACAAAGTGTACAGTGCTCACTTTATATTTAATTTTTGGATTACAAATATTTGCAATGTAAAAAACAAAAGAAATAGTATTTTTCAATTCACTGAACACAAGTACTGTAGTGCAACCTCTATCATGAAAGTTGAACTTACAAATGTAGAATTATGGGGATCAGGATTAAACAAAGACTGTGAATGGCTATCCAACTACAGAAGCAGTTTCTCCTCCCTTGGTGTTCACACCTCAACTGCTAGCAGAGCACCTCACCCACCCTGACTGAACTAACCTCGTTATCTCCATAGTGATTTATACCTGCCTCTGGAAATTTCCATTACTTGCAGCTGAAGAAGTGAGGTTCTTACCCACGAAAGCTTATGCTCCCAATACTTCTGTTAGTCTTAAAGGTGCCACAGGACCCTCTGTTGCTTTTTACAGATTCAGACTAACACAGCTACCCCTCTGATACTTGATCAAAATATTTAATACATTTCAATTGGTATTCTATTGTTTAACAGTGCGAATAAAACTGCAATTAATTTTTTGGAGTTAATTGCGTGAGTTAACTGCGATTAATCAATCAACCCCCCTAACTATAATTAAACAAGTCAAAATATTAGATAATTAAGATTGTAGAGTTTTATGCTGGCTCTCATCACCATAGTATCCGAATGTCTTTATTGAAAGTCAACAGCGCAAAAGTCAAGTCCTCAGTGGACTTTAAGGAGTCTATCTCCTCACTCTCCAGTGGAAAAAACTAAAAGCTTTTACTTGGGTGGGACTGTATAGGAGGAAGGGTTTGGTTTATTTGGGGGGAGAGGGGTATTTTTGACTAGATGGGGTATCTATATTGTAGGTATCATTCTTGTTACAGCGTAAAAGATTTTTCAAACCCTTCAAAAAGAATTTAATAGTGTTTTCTGAAGATGGTCCGATACTGGATTTACCGAATGTTCTTTGCAAATTCACTCCATAACCAGATTTCCTCAACTGACAACGCTTTATCCCCAGCTCTTACATACTTTGCCCTATAAGACACTCATTTCTACAGTGAGAGAGCAAGAGCACTTTACAGATGGGTTAGGGACTGGTATTCTACCTAATACATTTAGAATTCAATTAATTTCATGATGAAGTCAACAGGAATCTATCCATTGATTTAAATGGAAGTTTGATTGAGTCCTTTAGAGAACTGGTGTCCTGGGTTATAACTGTTCTGCACAGGCAAACCATGTCCATGCAGAATTCCATTGGGCTGTATTTGTAGCAGGATCAAGGCATGTGCAAACAATAATGATTGAGATAGTAGATAATGTTTTTAAACATATCCTTCACCTCAACTCAGGCAGATACATTATTCTTATTGTGGTGCTTCCACCAATTGAGAAACAAACTGCTAATTGTAATCTACCAAAAATAACTTAATTTTGCACAGAAGTATTGTGTGGGTTTCTCCAAAAACATCTAAGTAGTATTAATATTATTTTCACTTGTTTCAAACAGTATTGGAAATTAAAGTTAGACAAAAGATCTGCTCAAATAAATCACATTCTATGGGCCAGTTGTGGCTTGGGACAATTAAACATCTTTTGTGCTGGAGCAAGAATACTTCAAAAACTTTAATGATGCTGACTTTACCACAGTAACTGAAGTACCTTGACTTCCCTGAAAGCTTTTCTCACCTTTAACTTAGGTTAAAATACTAGAAGGAAACAAATAGTTCAATTATCTAAAATTTCAACCATGTAAAACATTTCCCTACACCTTGAAACATTGTGATGGCTTGCCCCAAAGCCATTTCCTATAATCTTGAGTGAAACCCTGCATTGGATGGAGTACTAGCAGTCTTTTCCAAAACGTAAGGTCATTTTCTCCATGTTTTCAGTGAAGGCATCTGAGGGAGAGCAATACAGAAAGGAGTGAGACAGCAAGAGAAATAGGAAAATGGTGTATAGAAGTAATAGCTTAAAATAGGTGTTGTGTCCACTAAAAACCACAAATGAATGAAATGTAAAACCAGTGTAGTACTTTTATATGCTCATTCTCTTCTTCAGCCTATTGCTGATGCTTCTCTTTTCTCCTTTTATCTCCTCCCATTTTCCCACTCTTCCAATTACCTCAAATGCAATATATATTCCTAATCACATGCCTCTTGATGTTTAGGCACTTGGGCTTAAAGTATGTTTAGTCCTGGCTGAGAGAACAAGAGTGAAAAAGATAGAAAATCAGGAAGTGAAGTGAGGACACACTACTTTGGAGGAAGCCACCGACATGAAGTGGAAAACTGGAAGAAAACAGGTGAGTGATAGAGAAGGAAGAAAAGGGGACAAGTCAACATAAGAGAAGCAGAGAAGAGATAGCTCCTTGTTTTCTAAGAAGGGTTGGAGAAAAGAGGCAGGAGAGAAGAGATAACTAAAGAAAATCTTACCTGCCAGAAACCACCACCTTATCATTCACAGACTGAAAAATTGCTGTCTTAGGGCGAAAGCGTAGCATGTAGCTGCCTCGCTCCATGGAAAGCGCAGGTAGACCCGAGAAGCTATGCATACAGGAAGGACTGTGCAGACTGCACAATCATGGAGAATGGAGAAACTTGCTCCTTTACACATTGTGACCAGACAATCAGTGAGAGGATTTGGGAGGGTTTAACCTGGCCCCTGTCTTCTTGCCTGGGATGACATTCTCCACCTTTTGGGTTTATCAAAGCAGCACCTCTTGGGCTCATTTGAATACAGCAACTACAACTGTTTAGACCAAGGCAGGGTGGGGAACTCTGTGTGGGCTCACTCATCTTCTGTATGCTGCACGTGTATCTGGCCTGTGACAGCCAACTAAATCGGCCAAAGGTAGGAATAACGAAAGAAATAAAATGAAATAACCCATAAACTAAAGGGAACAGAAAAGTGAGAAATCGGGCACATTTCACATTAAAACGATACCCTCCTGAACCATTATTTTTAATTACTCCTGCTTTAGAATACTTTGACAACAATTTACTTCAGGCATTTAAGAGGAAATGTCAATAAATTGACAATTTTGCCATTTTTGAAAGGAATAATTCTTTACATGCAAAAATTATGAAGTGTGAACCACTTATACACAAGCTTGTCGTGTTTTATACGGCATTCTAATCCTTAGGAAAATGTCAATTTAAGTAATAGAATAATCTAAAGGCCAGGTTACAAGCACTAGGAATAATATAATTCTATTTAATTCCTTTTTGAGGGAGGAGAGAAACACCACAGATAATCTTGGGGTACTTCTGCTTTGATGTATAACCTGGCCTGGGCAGTTTCTTTGTAACACTGTGTTAGTTTTCAGAGTTTTGATTTGTTGTATTTATATTTTTGTGCAGCTCCTACCTTGAGGTAAGTGCTCTATAAATTTAAAACATGATTATAGATATATAGCCACTACTTCTCTGTAATAATTGTATTAGGAGAGCTCTCCCTTTTTATAGATGCACAATAATACATAGTAAATTATAGCTATAAAGCCACTACTTCTCTGCAATCAATTGTGTTACGATCGCTCTGTTTTTATAGATGCACAATAATATATAGCAGGGGTGGGCAAACTTTTTGGTCCGAGGGCCACATCTGGGTGGGGAAATTGCAAGGAGGGCCATGAATATAGGGCTGGGGCAGGGGGATGAGGTGCAGCAGAGGGCTCAGGGCAGGGGGTTGGGGTGCAGGAGGGAGTGTGGGCTGTGGGAAGGGTGCGGTGTGCAGGAAGGGACTCAGGGCAAGAGGTTGGGGTGCGGTGTGCACGAGGGGGCTCAGGGCAGGGATTTGGGGGGCTGGAGGGGTTCGGGGTGCGGACTCCAGCTCCGTGCCGCTTACCTGGAGCAGCTCTGGGGTGGCAGTGGTGCGCAGCATGGCTAAGGTAGGCTCCCTGCCTGCCCGGGCCCCGCGCTGCTCCTGGAAGCGGGCCTGCACCATGTCCCTGTGGCTCAGGTGGGGGAGGAGGGCAGAGGGCTCCACATGCTGCCCTTGCCTGCGGGTACTTCCCCCGAAGCTCCCATTGTCCACAGTTCCCTGTTCCCGGCCAATGGGAGCTGCATGGGGCGGTGCCTGCAGGTGAGGGCAGCCGCAGTGCCGGCCGCTTCCGGGAGCAGCGCAGGGCTGGCAATCCTGCGGGCCGGATCCATAGCCCTGACAGCCTGGGTCTGGCCTGCGGGCTGTAGTTGGCTCACCCCGATATATAGTAAAAAAAAATAAAAAAAAATAGTAATTTTAAATTCACAATAATATGAAGGGAGAATAATGTTTAACCCTTAGAAAAGATTAAAACTAGCAGCACAGGTTTGATAAACTACCATTTATGGCTAGTAAATACCACCCCCATTGCTGAACAGCGTACTTTGTATTACTCTCCTTATCTCTTTTACAGTTGGAGTAGCTATAAATTACACACCACTCTACTATACTCAAGTCAAACCTAATGCAAAGTGCCAGACTATAATCTTATCAACTACTTTTCTGAAATAGGAGAGAAAATGTAAACAGTATACAAAATACAGGAGAGGTATTACAGTATAATATTACAGAACATATTCAAATTAACCCACTTTCCCTTTGTTCTGGATTTTAAATTGCTAAAATCGAAGTATATTGTTCAGTCACACTGTTGATGCTGAGTTATACCCATTATACTTAACCACACCAAACACCAAATTTAGATCAGCCACTAAGTGGCAGTATCTACATTTAAAAACAAAATCATGGGAATTAGTGCAAATACAGTACAATTCATAATGAGACCCACTAATTTACTACATGCAATAAAGGTTTGTTTCTTGTTAGTCGGCAGAATTCAGTGAATTGGAGTTTTATGAATTTCTGAAGTAAGAACTGCCACTGGGTTATAATAACTTGTGTAAATCAGGAACTGTCTCCATAATTGTCTATTAAAACTGCCATTAAAGACAAGAAAGATCTTTCATTCAAAACAATGAATAAGTTAAATTTATTCAGGCAGGGATGGAGCAATCATTTCTATATTATTAATGTAAAGCAAATCCAGACAATCCAGTTAAATGTGGTGCTCAGAAATTAAAATTAACCTTACTTTATCACAAACCTGACCTCCAATGTTCAAGAACCTTTACTATTACAGAACAACCTCAACACATGAGATTCATTCATATTTTAAAAACAAGAGCTACTAGATTCCATATATGCCCAGCATTAACTGAATTAGGACAGAATCAAATACAGATTTGATCATTGCGTTTTTCAACTGATCTTTAGCCTCAATGTGTTTCAGGTGTTCACAAGAGTTGGAAGAATCTTTTATAACTAACCTCAATTGGCTGGTGCTTTGTTATGCCCAACCAGCATCATCTTTAGCCAGCATAGGATTGGAAAGATGCAAGCAAAAGTTTGTTTCCCAAGTGACCTTGCTGTTATGATTCAGCCTGCCATGTTCTGTTTTTGTCACTTTAAGGTGTATGTTAGGGTAGCTACAGCTGAACCACATCCATTTGGGTCCCCTTTGTAAAATTGCCACATATGCTAAAGTAGAACAAAAGTGATCAAAGAGATCAGCATAATCTCTCATCAAGTTTGTGTCTGTCAATGAAATATTGTTAGCTTTAGTATATGATCCAGTCTAGTTTTTAGCATCCCAATCAAATGGGGTTTCCCTTACCCTGCAGGCCAGAGTCCTCATTGTCAGGGATTTTTCTCTAATATTCAGCTTAAGTTGTTCCTTCTTAAATTCATCCTCACATGGCTAATAGTAACCCTTCCCTTTCCTCCCAAATACCACCTAAATATATTCTTTTACACTGTGCCTATTAGCATGTTTCCAATGTTTATGGATGGGCCAAGAGATACAAGATACACTATTCAGACTTCACCCTTAAATGATCAGCAAACTGATACCCCTTTCTACCAGAGAAAGGCAATAGATGCGTTTCACATAAAATATATACAGCAGCATATCTACAGGGGAGATGGTATGGGCCATAAGGTTTTTCAATGAAAATGTCCTTATGTCTTCAGTCTAGTTTTTTTGTAATTGTATTTCAATAATTACCAAATGTTCTTTAATCCAAATTGAAATGCCCTCTCTCCCCTCCACTTGCAAAAAGTCCCTCAAAATGTAAGGTTAACAAGAAAATAAAATCAATTATAATGCATTCAAAAGTTAAACAACTTTTACTTCTAAGTCTGAAAGGTAAATATCACATTTTAACACTGATGTTCACAGATTAATGTTTGCTCATTTCACATGAGTCACTTGGTGTTTTGCAGTTCATGTAATGAAATATCAAGGCACAAGAACATCCACAATGTTTTGTAGAAAGCGATTCCTTAGCCACAGTGGAGCTATTTGCTATGAATGTTGCTGAATACTATCTATTGTACAGTAGTTTGTTTCAGTATTACTTTCCTCCTGGTGGCAAGGGCGTAAATGTGGTTCTCTCAGATGTCAACAACACTAAGAGTGAATGAAAAATTGAGCACTGAAAATAAACATTACTTCTCACCCAAACTTAATTATGTTTTACTTTTTAAGTGTGATTTTAAAAAGTCTTACCTATCCACCAGCTTTTTAGCAAATCCAAAATCTGTAAGCTTGATATGCCCTTCTTTATCTAATAATATATTTTCAGGTTTTAAGTCTCTGTAAACGATTTCTTTGGAGTGCAAATATTCTATTGCACAAATAATCTCCGCAGAGTAAAACAGTCCTGTGCTGTTGTTGAAACGCCCCATGTTGCGCAGATAACTAAAAAGTTCTCCTCCAGGTACATATTCCATTAACATGTATAAAAAGCGTTCATCATGGTAGGTCCAAAATCTGTAACAAAAAAGTCTTTATTAAATATTGAGCCAATAAATCATTTGTAAAACAAAGAAGATATTCTGTAAACTGGTGTTGTTCCATTGTCTCTTGGAAAGAAGTATTCTAAAATAATGCATAGCTAACTTGCGGATTTCACTGCACAAGATATCTCCAAGATCAAGCTCTCAGTAGGATTTTTAGGTATATTTGATGGATATATGGATAAAGATTTCCCAGAGTTAAATTAGGTAGGGGAGAGACACCCACCCCTGCCTTAGACAAGATATAAACTTTCACTCTTCATGGTACAAGCCAACAACTAACTGGCCAAGCTTAGAAATAAAGCTTCCCTTTGTAGGTAGGTTTTCCCCATAATTGTCTGCCATAGGGTTTCTTGTACATTACTCTGAAGCATCTTATACAGGCCACTATTACAGATACAATGAGCCACTGTTCTTTATCTATTAAGACAATTCCTGTGTTCCTATATTGTACTCAACATAGTGAAGCCCAAATGAAAAACAAACAGTGATCTAAATTTGGAAAACTGCTTATGACAAGGTGTCTAAATGGAGAAAAATACACTATAGCCAAACCATTTTTTTATTATTATTTAAGTCATGTCTTAATAGAAGTTTCATATCTCAGCATCTTGCACTTCTATAGTTTCTTCCATTCAAGGTTCTCAAAAGGATATTTCACAAACAGAAATGTGAACTAGTAAAGGATTATCGTCCTCATTTTAAACTTTAGGGAAATTTGGGAAGAGAAGTTTAGTGGCTTGCCAGAAGTTTGTGGCACAGCCAGAAACAGAACTCCCATCTTTTCACACCCCATATTATGACTTAACCATTAGACCATCTTGACTTAACATCCACATCATAGTTTTGATGTGCAACTGCTGCACCAATGGCAACAAAGGGATTAGCTTTAACAAAATCCTCAGTCTTGACTAGGGCCTCTAAGCACTACTATAAAGAAACATTTGCACCCAGATATTAAGCTGATACTAAGTACCCCCATCCTACAGATTCTCTTTCCTCTTTCAATTGAGAAATACTGCTTTTTCAGTAGTACTACTACACCCAGCAGTGAAAAACAAGCTATGCAACATTAAGGAAATACATTCCAGCTCATTTAAGTCAGAAGGAAGAGAGAGGTTGATCAAAACATGCTGGCTACTATTAAGTACAAGTGAACAACTAATAGTGAAGGCCGAGAGAGAGAGTGATTGTGTGTGTCACACGCACTCATTACATAAGCATGCTTAGCACAATGGGGCCACACTCCTCAATCATGAGCTCATGGCATTAGACTAAAAGAATTAATAAAATAGCAAGTATAAATTAGAACTGTTGTCTCACAAAAAGTTTTGTACTGAACACAAGATCATTATCTAGCATATGCTAGAAAGGGAAGATACATTTTTTTCCACCCATAGCAAACAGACCAAATGCCACACTTGTATCCAACCTGTCGGCCTAAAGGGCAAATCTGTTAAGAAGAAAGTTTGTATTGGAGTATCAGCTGAACAGGTGTTCTGAGAAACACCCTGCAATTTCTAAACTGAATTGTCCCCTTACTGCTTCTGCTGCATCAGCAACACCTTGCCCACTGCAATGTAGGGAAAGGAGGAGAAAAGCAAAGTTGGCTGGAAAATTGAGATCTCTACCCATAAAAAAAATTCAGAGAGAGCTCTGCCTCTCAGTCTCCACACCCTACCTCTAGGGCCAGAGAGGCAGAGAGCTTGGGCACTCAGCCTCACTGGCCTTAAAACTGGATGGAGGGTGAGGAGCATAGAGCTAAGAGGCAGAACCAGGGTGCACCACCACAGCAGGGCTACCAAGATAAAAAGGTTTTGTCAATTTCACAGGCAGAAAGTAAAATTGACAAATGCCTCCTAGACAGGCAGCAAAGAAGCCCTCATTTAATTATTCCCTATGCGGAAAAAACTTTTCAGTTGTGTGAAAAGGGTATTTTCCTGTCAAAAATATTCCAATTTTTGAACTCTAAAAAATAGCTTTTGTTGCACCATTACCTGCTTCCCAGACAGGCTGCGGGAGCCCCAGGAAGAGCAGGATAGTAGCTCAACTGGTTCTTCCTAAGTCTGTGGGAGTCTTGACAAAAGTAAGTCTTCATTCCCTGATACAGGAACCCGAGAAAGCCTAGCAAAAGGCAAAATTGAGACAATGAGAACTAAACCAGTACAGCTCCCAATTCTCAGCCCCTGCACAGGTTAGCCTGGGGGAACAGGGCACAGAACTCTGGGCCATGCTTGATGTTGTTAATGTCTTTTTCTAACAAGGATGTGAAGGGCGGTCATTGACATCTTTTTCCTAAATAAAGTAAAATCCTAATTACATTGTTCTGCCAATAAAAATCCCTGATAAACTCTTCCCACACCCAGTCACAGAAGAATTGCACTATGGAACATGCTGAATAACTCAAACATGCATACTCTGAGTTGAGAAATGCATTTTAAGTAGGGCTGTCGATTAATCGCAGTTAACTCATGTGATTAATTTTTTTGAGTTTATCACGATTAATCGCACTGTTAAACAATAAAATACCAATTTAATTGTATTAAATATTTTGGATTTTTTTTCTACAATTTCAAATATATTGATTTCAATTACAACACAGAATACAACATGTACAGTGGTCACTTCATATTTTTATTACAAATTTATCATTTTTACAGTTCATATAAGAAATAGTATTTTTCAATTCCCTTCATACAAGTACTGTCGTGCAATTTCTTTATCATGAAAGTGCAACTTACAAATTAGGTTTTTTTGGTTACATAACCACTCAAAAACAAAACAACATAAAACTATGGAGCCTACAAGTCCACTCAGTTCTATTTCTTTTTCAGCCAATCGCTAAGAGAAACAAGTTTGTTTACATTTACGGGAGATAATGCTGCCCATAAAAGAATGACACTCGTTAAAAAAAATAATGCATTAATTAAATTTGTGACTGATCATATTGGGGGAGAATTGTATGTCTCCTGCTCACTTTTACCCACATTCTGCCATATATTTCATGTTATAGCAGTCTCGGATGATGACCCAGCACACGTTGTTCGTTTTAAGAACACTTTCACAGCAGATTTGACAAAATGCTAAGATACCAACGTGAAATTTCTAAAGATAGCTACAGCACTTGACCCAAGATTTAAAAATCTGAAGTGCCTTCCAAAATCTGAGAGGAACGAGGCGTGGAGCATGCTTTCAGAGGTCTTAAAAGAGCAACACTCTGATGCAGAAACTACAGAACCCGAACCACCAAAAAAGAAAATCAATCTTCTGCTTGTGGCATCTGACTCAGATGATTAAAATGAACATGTGTCGGTCCACATTGCTTTGGATCGTTATTGAGCAGAACCCGTCATCAGCATGGACGCATGTCCTCTGGAACGGTGGTTAAGCATGAAGGGACATATGAATTTTTAGAGCATCTGGCATGTAAATATCTTGTGATACAACAGTGCCATGCGAACTCCTGTTCTCATTTTCAGATGACATTGTAAACAAGAAGCAGGCAGCATTATCTTCTGCAAATGTAAACAAACTTGTTTGCCTGAGTGATTGGCTGAACAAGAAGTAGGACTGATTGGACTTGTAGGGTCTAAAGTTTTATATTGTTTTATTTTGGAATACAAGGGGTTTTGTACATAATTCTACATTTGTAAGTTCAACTTTCATGATAAAGAGTATTTGTATTAGATGAATTGGAAAATACTATTTTTGTCTTTTACAGTGCAAATATTTGTAATCAAAAATAAATATAAAGTGAGCACTGTACACTTTGTATTCTGTGTGTTTTAATCGAAATCAATATATTTGAATATGTAGAAAACATCCACAATATTTAAATTAATGGTATTCTATTATTGTTTAATCGCACAATTAATCGTGATTTTTTTTAATCACTTGACAGCCCTAATTTTAAGAAATCAAGCAGAACAGCTGTATAGACCAGAAAAGTAGCTCAGAGCAGTAGAAAATCTTAAAACCAGATAACTCTCTTTTAAAAAAGTACTGTGATGTAAGGCAAAATGTGGCCAAAATTGGAAGACCTGGATGTGATCACCAGTTTATTGTTTTTTGTAGGCATCTCTTAAATCAGTTAGCAAAAATTAAAATAAGTGCCAACAGCTAATCCATAATTTAGTAAGGCTGGGAGTATTCTTATTAGTTTTTAACTTAAGATGTCACTGACAATGAAAAAAACAGTACATACTGTAAGACTTAAAGGAGTTTATTTTCACTTAAAAAGTTACACTTCTACCTCGATATAACACTACCCTATATAACACGAATTTGGATAAAATGCGGTACAGCAGTGCTCCGGGGGGGCGGGGCTGCACACTCCGGTGGTCAAAGAAAGTTCAATATAACGCGGTTTCACCTATAACGCGGTAAGATTTTTTGGCTCCTGAGGACAGCGTTATATCAAGGTAGAGGTGTATTTTTCCTTTAAATGAATGCAGCATTAATAACTCAATTTGCTTACAAAATCTGAGGCGAAGCCAACATGCATTATTTTAATATGAAGTTAGCACTTGGATCTTATGTTTACAGGGCCAACTTAAGACTCCTATTCTGCATTCTTACAACCAAGCAACTAGTTGATATTAATGGGACGATCAAACATAGGGCTCAATTTTATTCCTAATTATTATTTTTCTGAAAGCCATAAATACACAAAGTTACAGTTTAATTCACTTAGGACACATCCTTGTTTCTGTAAGACTGGTTTTTACCTTAATATGCCCACTGAAGATAGCATACAAGATTACACTGCCTGGCTGTTGCAACAGTATAAAACAAGCATTTCCTAAACAAATGTCACATTTGAGCATGTAAATGGAGACTCAGAAGCACAAATTGTTAATTGTGCAATCAAGCACATATCAAGGTGAAATTTTAGACAGGCACTTGTACAAGTTGAGTTCAGGTACAAGAAGGAACAACAAAAGTAGGTATGTGTTGAATGGAAAAGATTATCACCTCACTGCTACTCTTTCATCCATCAAGTAAACATCTTGCACGTGCACAGAGACACACCCACAGACCCCTCCATTCTTCTTTCCATAATGAAATTGGCTACTAAAAATTATTTTGCCTCTGAGCACGATTATTCAAGAAGCATATTTAAATGTATATCCACATCAAGTTCCATTACATTTTAGATCTGAGAGATGGTACAGCCAGTAATCACTGTACAGTATGTATTTTGTGTAAATAACTAATATTCATATCCTATTCCACCATATTATGAAAGTGAGGGCTGCAAGTTTTACCTTTTTCTTTTGTTTTAAGAGAAGACCAAATTCTGCTCTCTCCCTAGGTTAAATATATTTGCTTACATCCATTTCCTTGTACAAGGATCGCTGTATCCTCACTCCAAACTACCATGGGATATTTCTACTAACTTTATATATTGCAGGAACATTCAGAGATACCAATCAAGATTAGGTCCCTATTGTGCTAGACACTGTGCAAACAGACTACTGCTGGGGGAATTCTGTGCCAAAACATTAAAAATTCTGCACACAGTGTTTTAAAATTCTGCAAAATTCAGCATATTTTATCAAAACAACAATATAATAAACTCGCGACTGCCTGCAGGAGTCCCAGCTGACGATGGTAGGCCTGGGTGGGAGTAGGGGAGAAAAAGGAATACCAAATTCTGTGTGGAAAAATAAAATTCTGCAGGGGAACATGAATTCTGCATTGCGCAATGGTGCAGAATTCCAACAGGAAGAACATACAAAATTGCTGTCCTCACCTCACCTTTTAAGACAAGTGATGTACAAAGAGGGGAGAGAGACAGGGACACATTTTAATGTACAAATTGCTTTTTTAATTATTAAAAAAATGTCACCTATCCTCATCTGCTCCTCAAACTCCAGTCACCATTAGCATTTCTAGTCTCACTTTAAAACTTTAGCTCCCGCAACCTCTCTAAAAGCAAAAAAGAGAATAATTCACCTGCTAACAGTAGCACAAGTTTGATTTCACCCCAGAGAGACCAGATGCATTAGCTCTGCCACACTTATTTTCCATCTGACTCAAAAAGTCCTGGCATCTCACCATGCTAATGAGCCAGCTGTAACACTTTAATGAATCATTTTTTCCCTGTTTGAAAACTTCTCTAGAGCAAACAGTATTGGTGTAAAAGCAAGGGACACTTATTTCAGCTGCAACCATCCATGATCAATTAGCAGTTGAATGTTTAAATTATGCTCTTTGATCTCAAATGTCTAACGCTTTTAAAGTAAATATTTGAGCCCATATGTCACTAGCAGACCTGGTTTCTGGAAAACCACATTTTGGTTCTGCTTATGGATTCAAGGAATTCCAGTCAGCCCCTGCACCTGATTTGGATTCATTGCTTTGATCGCATCATATATATCAAAGGAAGCCAAGAAGTGGTCTAGTTTGATTGGAAGTGGGTAGAATTAGTACAGCAATGCTGAATTCTATTATGTGCTTTCAGAAAGAGGCAGATATGGATGGCAAACAAGTATAGATTAATGCTGACTTCAGCTGCATTCATGTGTGTACTCATTGGGAGCAGCCTGGCTATACATGTGATTTTACAAATCTGCAGCTAAAACAAAAATCCATCATTCAGACATTATGTATTTGCACTATTCCTAGAGGACTTGAGGTCCATAAATCAATTTAAAATAACAGTGAGAATCATTATGCTATGAAAGGTAGCAAATTAGTCTCCCATATGTGCTTTATCCACAGTAAAGGTATATTAAAGGCAGTAATGCAATTTTTTTTTCCTATCTCACGTCTGTTCTGAGGAAGTTACTACTTGATGTGTGAACATTTAGGGCTTGTCTACATATTGTGGCAATGTAAACTGAAGGGGCATAAATTGTAGAGTGCTCTAAAGAGCTGCACTGTAACAGCCCCGGGTGGATCCTGCGCATGTGCTTCAGAAGGTAGAATCATCTAATTTCACACATAAGGGAAATGCAATACAATGGGAACAGCTTGTAAACTTCATACTTTAAAGCAGGGGTGGGCAAAATACGGCCCACGGGCTGGATCCAGTACAACTAACGTTTCTGTCCGGCCCACCAGGCTCTTTGGCTGCCCCCTCGTGTTCTCTCGGCTGCTAAAAGATCCATGGCACTGCAGGACACTCAGGCAGGCTGCCTGCCTGCCGTGGCCCCATGCCACTCCCGGAAACAACTGGCTGCTGCTGGCATGGCTCTGCGCGCCCTGGCAGTGGGGGGAGGCAGCTTTGCATGTGCTGCCCCTTCCCCCAGCACCATTTTCACAGCTCCCATTGGCCAGAAACCAGGCATCACTCAGAGACCCGCTCCTCCCCCCAAGGGGCATGCAGATACGCACCAGCAGCAGCTGGCCGCAGCCAGCTCTGGGAGCGGCACGAGGCCACAGCATGCAGGCAGCCTGCCTGAACCCTGCTGCGCCACCGGCTGGGAGCCACCTGTGGTAACTACCTCCCGGCCAGAGCCTGCACCTCGCACCCCCTCCAGCATCCCAGCCCGGAGCCCCCTTCCTGCATTCAAACTCCCTCCCAGACCCCATACCACCTCCATTAATATAGTAAAAATGTGCAGCCCGAAACCCCAACCAGGCAGAAACCTTGAGCCCATGAGCAGAGTTGAGGGGGCACAAGGGTGTTGGGCCCCCAAACTGCAGTCTCTTACCCAGAGTGGGGCCGTCCTGGGGGCAGCTCCACCCTCCCACACACCTCCTCTCCCCCAGTCCCCCACCCCTCACCCCACCCCACCGGCCAGGTCCTAGACAGGAAGTTAGCGCCAGGTGGTGCGGAGCAGCTGCTCCTCTGGCTGGTGGTGCCATGTAGTGGGCAGCCGTGGCATTCCCCCATCTGCTGCTGGTACCCAGTGTCGTGGCTGCTCCTCAGTTCCCAGCCCCCTTTGACTGCTCACGCAGCCGCTCAGAGGTGCCAGCAGAGCCCTCGGGGAGCAGCCACCAGCACACAGCCCCAGACATGTGGGTGGCCTGCTGAGGTGAGTTGGGCGTGGAGGTGGCACTCCCTCCCTGGACCCTGCTGTGCAGAGCTGGCCACAGCCCTGCCAGCCCTTGCTGCTCCTCCCCTCTCCCCAATAGAAGTCAAACTACACCTATGCCCAACAGTTTCCACCCCTGGCCAGGAGCCCCGAGTCCCCTCCTCGCCACTGCACCCTGGAGATTTTCTAGCACGTTGAGGGGGGCTTCAGAAAGAAAAAGGTTGAGAACTCCTGACTTAAAGGACACTATTTAAGCCAATTTAAAGTTCGTTGTTACTGAATATCTGGTCCAAAAAATAACCACACCAAAGAAAAAGTGAAGGCAGAAGGAAGACTTACAATCTGATCAGAAATGGGTGATTGACCTCTTTCAAGACTGACTTCTCATTGTGTACATGTTGTTCTTGTTTTAGCCGAATGACATCTGGAATGCTCATTACTTTCAGGGCAAAGTAACGTTTGGCCATTTTTTCTTTCACCAGATGAACCCGCCCAAAAGTACCTGTGCCTGAAAATTAAAGAACAAAAGGTCAAATGAACCAACCTTTTCTATAATTGTACATATAAAATGCACAAATGCAATAAGTTTGTCAAAGTAACAGTTCCTGCCTACTGAAGCGGGGTAACTGAATTCCAACTTCTCATCAGTATTTTTTACTGCCCCCCCCCCCACATGCAGATTTAATGACATCTTCACAGCAATTTCTTATCAATATTTTGTTGCAAAATCCTATTGAGGTCCCTTCCAGACCTACACTTCTATGATTCTTCAAAAATTATAAATGTTTTTAGATAAAGGTCATCAAGTAAAGGTGAATAAGACCGTCCATATTTTTCTTGGTTTCTCCCTTTCAGCACATTACATTTTAGCACATTAGAAAAGTATATACAATGAAATATGTTTTACACAAACAAAATGGGGGTGGAGGGAAGAGGAGAAAATGAAATCTCAAAACATTGGCAGAATTGCAGAGTGCAGATAAAACATAAAACATGGTCAAACAACAGATTTGATTAGGGTTACCATACGTCCGGATTTCCCAGGACATGTCCGGCTTTTTGGTTGTTAAATGGCCGTCCGGGAGGAATTTTTAAACATCTAAAAACGTCCGGGTTTTTCGATATTTAAAAATCCCTCCTGGCCGGCCGGCATATGGACGTGTGGTAACCCTGCCAGAGCAAGCCTCTGAGAACCCGTCCCAGGGACTGCAGGGCTCAGAGAGGTTCTTCACCGAGGAGCCGCTAGGGGTTCTGTTGAGCTCAGCACCACACTCACAGCTGGGCGCTCCTTGAGTCCGGACCCAACCAGTGCCTCCCGGCGCCAGCCCTCGGTGGCGAGTGCCAAGGCCCTGACACGCTGCCCTGCCCGAGCTGCAGCTGCGCCCGGGAGCGTCCAAGGGCTGAAGGCAGCGCTGGAGCCGACGGGGCTGCCGGAGCACAAGTCGGAGCCGGCCCCGCACCAGCGGGCTGAGCGGGGAGTTGTCCCGGGAGAAGTTTCCCTGGGTGCCCAAGCCCGTAACCTCCCTCCGTGAGGTGCTGCCAGCACGGGCGGCCTCGGGCTCCCGGCTTTCTGCCGGCCGGAGCGGAGCCTGCAGGGAAACTTCTCCCGGGACAACTCCCT